CGTGTTGGGGGAGAAATTTGAAAGGAGCCTATCCAGAAGCTTTCTTTTACAGATGCGTGAACTGAAGCCCAGAAAAGTGCTGATTCTTGGACCACACATCTAACTAGCTGACTAGTCAGAGGTAGAACATGTAGAACATGAAGGTATTTTTACCTTTCTCTGAATCTCTTTTTAGTGCTCTATTACATTACAGATTGCAATAGTTTGGCCAACAATGTATATTTATGATTTCATGATGTGTCCTGTATTTAAAAATTATATTTCGTAATTAATATTAAAAGGTGACCCTGAATATTATTTTCTACTAATTTTGTTATAAAGTGCATGAGCAACTTTTGTAGGTTAAGTGGGTTTTTGTGCTCTGGCATACAAAACTAAGGAATAATTCTTACAACATTGTTTCTCTAGAAAAATGCACTGTGAGAAACAATCAATTGAAAAGCTCTGGGATAGTAGATAAAGGTTAGAAGTACTGAGAACATGAGCTTATAAAAGAAAAATGCAGAGTCTGAATTTTAAAACTGAACATCTAAAATATACATTCTATACATTCATTGTTCATAAATCAATCTAAATATCTGAGAAACTGACCACGAACAGCAAAAATATATATATATATAAAATATATTAATATTAATCATGAAGATACTTGACGTCTGCTTTCAGCTAGGCATAGTCATGTGTCTCAGTTTGGGCGAGGGAGAAATAAAGGGAAAGTCTGTGAGCGCCTTCTTAAAAAGGGAGACTCCCTAACCTGCTAACCATAAGTGGATGCCAGTGTGGGAACAGTGGGGCAGCGGGATAGGATGAGCCAGGGTCTTAAAAGCTTGAAGGGATCATGAAGCTACCCTACTAACCTGAACTGCCTGTCTCTAGACTTACTTTACACAAGAAAAATAAATTTATGTCTTGTGTAAGCCATTACGCTTCTAAGTTTTCCCTCTCTCATCCTAACTGAACTCTAAATCCCAGACGAGTTAGCAATGAATTTCTCGCTGGAAGGCTAGATTGTGTCACCTCTAACCCTCAGTGGTGCTGATTCAGTCATTCACTCAAAGGGGCTGATGCTCATGTGACTCACCCAACAAAGGGTCAGTGAAGTCCAGCTGTACTGACAGACCGCAGGGTGGGGAATGGGACTCAAGCTTGGCCTGTGTCCACAGGCCAATAGTTTCCTGAAACTCGTGCTGCATGCGTTCCATGTTCACATACTCCATCCAGAGATCCTAGGATGGAAGCACAGGACTTTAGCTTTGGCAGGTGAAACATATAAAATTACATATTTAAATACAAAATGGCCAGTGAATGTTTACATGAGGTGGTACATTCCCAAGTTCTCCAGTATGTGGATAAATCACATTTTAAATGGCTGTTCTTCACAGTGGTCTCAAAACTTTTTTCATTGTACTCCACAAATCAGAAGAAAAGTACTTTGAATAGTTAGCCACATTATATGTAAATGTATAAAATATATGCATACAATACTTGAACTTGTAAATGATGTGTATTATAAGACACAGGTGATAAAAAGTAGAAATGTAAGAGAATTCAAACTCAGCAGCCATTCCCCATAAGCCCTCGACAGGGTATCAGTGGGAACTGACTCAACAGCACTTAACAAATAACCCAGTTTCTTTAACAAATAAATTGCAAGAAGGGATAGACATACTCACTAGCCAAAAATGTGAATCCTTAGGGAAGCACAATGTAAAAATAAATTTAAAACAAAAAAAAACCTTTCATGACATATACGTGGCTACTGGGAATCTGAACACTGACTGGATATTTGTTTTTTAAAAACATATTTTACTGTTTTCAGTGAGTTTACACAACAGATTAGGTTCCCATTGAACAATTTCTATATTATCCAGTGATAGCTGTTTGATATTAAGAAATTACTCTTAATACTTTTCAGAAGTAAGTGCTATTGTATTGTGTGTTTTTTGTTGTTGTTCTTAATAAAGTACATACTGAGATTTTCATGTATGAAATGATAGTGGGAGCTTCAAAAAGTTTGTGGGAAAATTCTAATTCCATTTTTCCACGAACTTTTCAAAGTCCCTTGTATGTATGTTCTCTCTGATTAGCTCCAAAATAAGACCCCACAGGGTCCCTGAGGGAAGGGAAAGAGGAAGAGTATGCCCATGAAACTACATGGCTTCATAAAGTTCAAGGAAAAATGAAATTTAAAAGACAATGAAATTTTTCCATGCACTTTTTGAAGTCTTCTTGTAGTCTATCTACTTTTCCATATGACTGAATTTTTCATAATAAAAGATTAAATAAATGAGTAAAAAATAAAACGAGAAAAACAGAAACCCTAGAACGCACTTTTTGCACATAGGGTTATGTCTAGCATACTCTAAACCACAGGCAGGGCCCTGGTTAGTAATGTCCAACTTACAAACTCCTACTTGCCCTTTAAAGTTACGTAAAATGACTGAGCCAACCCTGCCCTGCAACAAATTCACCACAATCCCCTTCACTTGCTGCAGCTGAAATCACTGAAAAGGCTTTGAGCTTTCCCTTCACCAAAGTAAGGCTCCATTAAGAACCCTAAACATTCTACCTAATGACTTACACATGGCTATGAACAATCATGTTCATAACCCGGGGACTTGCCCGGATAAGTATTTCCTTTTAGTAAATTACTGCCTTTAAAAAAAAAAAAAAATCTCAATTGTCATCGAGCACTAAAAACTACTTCAAATATGAATGGCAGGTAATCAAAAATATGGATTTCTTTTTTCTAATTGCTCTAAAGACCAAAAAGCTCCTCCAAACCTAAAAAGTCCCCAGCCTCTCAGTGAGCACACTGCCATGAAGCCCTGAATGATTAGTTCCAACCAAGGACGGCACAAGAATTCCAGACCCAGAGCGGGACCTCCAGAGCATAATCCTGATCACGAGCATGAGTCGAATCCTCTATGCCCCAAACTGTTCACAGTGCTGGACTGGACCCTCCGACCATGACCACACATCTCCCACATGCCCATATCACCTACACTGCATGCTGACAGAGGCTAACGATGGAGCAAAGATTGAGAACTGATGACAGGTAAGCAGAGACTTCTCAGAAATCACAAAAAGACAAGGCATAACAGAGCTTAGACTGTAGATCAAAATATAGAGTTTTGCATCAAAGGACAACTTTTAAAAGGAAGAAAACAGGCAATGAATTCTGTGTATGCTCAGTAAGCAAGATAAATCAAGAAACCAAGAAGGCTATGATTTTTTAATTGTGGTACAATTTCTAAAAACACTGACCAAGTGCCTACGATGTAAAGCTAGTGGTTCAAACCCGCAAGTCAGTCCAAAGGTAAAGGATGAAGCTATCTGCTCCCATTAAGATTTAGAGACTCAGAAACCCTATATAGTAGGATCACTACGAGTCAGAATCAACTCCATGGCAGTGGGATGGAACTATATTCAAAGTATTTCAGAATACTTTTCCTGTTCTAGCTCTCTATCCTCAGCCTTATTAGTCTGTGCCTTAAATGTTTCCCCCAAGGTTTCATCTTGAGGAATTTTCTTAATCTAACTAGTCTAGCAACATTAAAGCCCCATTCAATGTTGTTGTTGTTGTTAGGTGTCACTGAGTCAGTTCTGACTCCTACCAATCCTATGCACAGCAGAATGAAACTCTGTCCAATCCTGCACCATCCTCACAATTGCTGTTAAATGCTTGAGCCCACTGCTGCTGCCACTGTGTCAACCCACCTCACTGGGGGCCTTCCTCTTTTATGCTGACCCTCCCCTTTACCAAGCATGGACATCCTTCTCCAGGGACTGGTCCCTCCAGATAGTATGTCCAAAGTATGAGACAGGAAGTCTGACCATCTTGGCTATACTTCTTCCATCACAGATTTGTTTGTTCTCCTGACAGTCCATGGTACTTTCAATATCCCCCTCCAACACTGTATCTCAAATGCATCAATTCTTCAGTGGCCTGGCTTAGATACTGTTCAACTTTCACATGTATATGAAGCAAATGAAAACACCATGGTTTGGTTCAGGCACACCTTAGTCCTCAAACAGATGGCTTAGCTCTTGAACACTTCTGTTTGTCCTTCTGATCAAAGACCACTACTCCACCCAAGTCAGAATCAGGGGCTGTTCCTCGGTGTTTTCACCACACTCTGTGCATTCCATACTCCACAGTCTTTAGCATAAGATATAACCATTTGACAATAAGCTCACTGAAGGCAGGAACCGTGTCAAATTTCATTTTGTATCCTTGACATGAAATCCCTGACAGCTAGAAGACACTCAATAACTACGCTTGGGCAAAGCAACGAGAAGGAGAAAGAAGGGAGAGGAGGAGGAAGAGGAAGGGAAGAAAAAAAATGAAAGACTGGCGATACAATATTCTATAAAAGGATTCAAAGGATCCAAATTAAAGTCTCTCACACCTTAAGAAATAAACAAACTAACCCCCACAAACCTGCTGCCATCAAGTGGACTCTGACTCAGAGGGGCCCGACAGGACTGCCCCAGAGGGTTTCCAAGGCTGTAATCTTTAAGGAAACAGATTGTTACACCTTTCTCCCTCTGGGTGGGTGGCAGGCTCAAACCACTAACCTTTCGATTAGCAGCCGAGTAGTTTAACCAGGGCTCCTTCACAAGTCTTGTTGTCATTAAGTACTGTCTAGCTGGTTCCAAATCATAGCGACCCTGTATAGGGTTTCTGAGGAGTGGCAGGAGAATTTGAACAGCTGACCTTGTGGTTAACATTTCAGTGCTGATCTTACAAAGCATCTTAATTGGCGTCAATGCCCAAAAGAGTTAATCAGCCTCTAGGTAAAAGGCACTGGATTAGGAGTAATAGTCCATACATCTCCAAAGATGGATAAAGAAGTTTACAGAAAATTCAAATCAGAAGACTTGGCCTTAAAAAAGATGACTGACATCTTTGTGTTCTAAGAAGAACAAGCTGAGGATGAATGGAGACCAGAACCAGATGGCTCTAGGGGCAGCCAGGACCATGACAGCGGTAAACAGGACATCTCCGAGCCAGACAGAGGTGAACACCTGATCTACTCTTTCAAATGACCCTCCTATGGAAAATATGGACACTTGCCGTTGTCGAGTTGATTCTAACTCCCAGCCACCCTATAGGACAGAGAAGAACTGCCCCCACAGGGTTTTCAAAGCTGTAACCTTCATGGAAGCAGACTGCTGCAACTTTCTCCAATGGAGTGGCTGGTGGGTTCAAATCACTTTGGTTGGTAGCCAAGTGCTTAACTACCAGGACTCCTTTACAAAGCATTTATTGTTGTTGTTGATTCCGACTCATATCGACCCTTTATAGGGTTCCTGAGGAGCAGTTGGGGAGTCTGCACCTCCGACCTTACAGTTCCAATCAACCTTGAGATCGAGCGCTTATCCTACAGTCCCACACCAGAACTTCTAATAAAGTATGAGTCTTTATGAATCCTTACACTGTACTTTTCATGGCAGCAGAGATGAACAACAGTGTTCTATGCATAGATACATGGACTAAGAAGGAGGCTGAATGGGTAAGGGAGAAAGAGTGGAATATACATCATGGTTGGTTGTATGCCGTGGAGTCAGTTCCAACTCATAGAGGCTCTTTATAGGGTAAATCTTTACAGGAGCACAAAACTTCATCTGTCTCCCACGGAACAGCTGGTAGTTTCAAACTGCGGACCTTGAGGTAACCACTACAACTTGTAACCACTACGATACCAGAGTTCCTTTATAAATGAAATTTAAAGAGGATATTTGTACGTGGGTATTTACCTTTCCTACAAACACAACTATGAATGTGGTGCAGCATACAGTGGTCAAAATGACGAAAACTTCTTAAACATGATCAAACATCTTAAGGCAATGAGTTGCTGGGTCTAAGGGCTCAGGACATAGACTCAGGGGATACCATGGTCAAGTGGCATAACACAGTCCACACAGTCCACACAGTCCACACAGACAATGTTCTACATCCTACTTTGGTGAATAGCATCTGGAATCTTAAAAGCACATAAGTGTCCATCCAAGGTGCAGCTACTGGTCTCTCCATGTGTGGAAGAAAGAAATGTGATAAGAACTGAAGATGCTTGGAATCAGTTAGTCAAATGGAGTAATAGAACACGTGAACATCAGTCTCCACGGTTCTGAAACTAGAACTAGACGGGGCCTGGCTACCACTACTGGTCAGAAACAGACGCCGGCCCCTGACCACCCTTCAGGTCTGGAAAGGAACTCACCCTTGTGGCCCAATTTTCAGCCAAGCAGTAGATTTATGGAGGGACAACACTAGCAAGGTATGCTCATGACAGAAGGGTCAATCATTCAAAATCAAAAGGACAACATTTTCCCAAGGACAAAGTTGAGAAGGGATGGGAAGATGGGCAAAATGCAGAGAGGAACGATAAGCAGGAAGTGAGATAACCAGAGTTGCGTAGAGGGGACTGCACTCTTTGAGATGAAACAAATGTATACTTTGTTGGATATAAAACTGATGATGTGGTCTGTAAGCCATCACTCAATTCACAATAAAAAGTGTTTTTTTTTTAAATAACTGGTTTTGCCATAGATGATGAATGTAGCCAATCCTAATGACTCAGATACATATGCTGAAAGAAACCCCGCCATCCTTTTACCTGCTGGTTCTGCATCACTTTTGCCAGTCTGTGAATATCATAACGCTTAGGTAGGGAAGGGATATACGTGTCCCCTTTCTGAAAATTCTCATCTTCTAGCCATAATATATATACATTGAAGAGCCTGAAAGACACAAACATAATTATATAAACATTAACCAGATGGGCAGGCAAATGTAGTTTCTCCTATTTCCAGAACTCTGGCCCCACTGCCTAACAAAGTAAAGCAAGAATGTAGTGTGGAAACTGTTTCCCACAACCTCCATAGCTCCCAGAAAACCACAGACTGACAGGGGAGAGAGACATATCGTAAGTAAAGCAAGTATCAGGCACACATTGCTAAAACAACAAGACAGGAAGAAACGGCTCGGACCACTCTATTGTAAAATAAGGTTAAATATGGTAGGTAGAAAAAATCCCCGGAGAAAGTATTTTCACACAGACCTAGGATCTGAACTAGGCGCTTTTCTTTCCTAAGACGGGATGCCTAGTACTTGCGACAATTACTAGTGACATTCCAATATACAAGTTTTCTTCCCTTGAACATAATGCAGTGGAAGAGCTTGCCCGCTGTAGGCCCTATGCCAGTATCCTGCTCACGGGACGGTCCAGAGAAAGCTCATGACATGCACATGCCTGTTCCCACTAAGGAGTAGAACAAAGCCAGGTTCCAAAAAGAGTATCAACTTCTCAGCAAATACTTTTAAATGGTTATCTTGTTTTTATTTCTTTTGGTTTTCACAAATAACAGTGCATTTAGCTAGGATCACTGGTGTTTTAAGCGGTTCTTTGCAGCAGCAACAGGTCGTAGAGAAGTGGTCTACAATACCCAGACTACAGGGTAGGGCACCAGGAGGGGGCACTGCTTCACTTTGCTCAGAAGAGTGGAAAATTCCCTCCGCAGTAGTCTGTCTAGGAGGAGACACAGGCAGCTCCTTTAGCTCTAAAAGGAAGAGCTTGAGTAATTCACTCTTCCAGCTTCTGATTCCCAGGGATAGATGGTCACTTTGGGAACACACTAGAGGAAAGAGGCATTTAAGCAAGGCAGAGGAACTATTAAAAGCTATCTTGGTTGACTTAAATGCTCAAAGGTACAGTCTGCGCAGTGGTTAATTAAATCTGGTTCAATTTGTTTCTGTCACTAGATAAAAGGAGAAATCACACTGGGAGCTGAGGGCTGCATGTCAGACAAGTGACGCCTCAGTGCTGGGTGATGACGCTGGGCTACCTCACCACGACAGTTGGTTTTCAACATTAATTACTAAGAACCATTTTTTATCAAATCTTATACAGAAAGACTAATACTTGGCTTATACCAAGTTAGGAGTCCTGGTGTAGCACTGCAGGATAAAACACTCGATAAGAGTGCTTTGAATGTCAAGACTGGTGCTCCAAATTCACCACTGGTATTTGATCATCCTTTTGAGGAAGTCATACTCCTCAGATAGCTTATATGTGCATTTCCCCTGGGCTTCCAGCTACACCGTCAGGCAAAGCTCAGTCTGGAAGAGCAGAAACCAGTCTTCAGTCAATGCATGAGCCCTCTTTTAAGCACCCTGCCTGGGTCATTTTTTCCTTTAAGGAACTATTCTAAAAGGTTTTCAGTTTACCTGCTATGATGAATTGCTTTGGTTCCCTTCAGTTTTTACATAAGGAGGGTGTCAGCCCGCTCGTTTATGACCATTCCACAGAAACATAACCAAATTACTGATGGATTCCTCATGAGGAACACACACATTTCAAGATGCAAATCTGCATCGACGTCCCTTTCCATATTCTATCTAACAGGGTTAAGACAAAAACACCAAGCAGTATGTAACACAAGTTACAGGTCCAGGACCATGCCTCCATAGACCATGCATCACCTCACGAGTTCTGTGTGCAGCGCTGGCGAGGTCAGGTATCCAGGGGTGCCTGCCTGGCTCTCACACGGCCCTTCACTGCCCTCTGCTGGAACGCGAAGGGCCTTGCTTGCAGCATGGTGGAAGTCAGCCACCTCGGTCAGGCGTTTCTTCATGTCTTTCAACAAAGTGATATGAGCAGGGCTCTGGAAGAATTTCCTTCCAATACAGCCATCTATGGGTAACCTTGAAAAACACAAATACATGTCCACAACCTTTCAGTACACGCTGCACAAAATGACAGTGAATTAGCCAGTTAATTTACTATAGCTGTGTACAGCCAAAAAGAAAAAACCCACCCAACTCACTGCCATGGAGTCAATGCCAACTCATGGAGACCCCGTGTGTTACAAAGCACAGCGGAGCTCCACAGGGGCTTTCTGGCTGCCATCTTTACAGAAGCAGATCATCAGGACTTTCTTCCGTGCTGCTATTGGGTGGTTTCCACCTTGGAGTTAGTACCCAAAAACAAACCATTCACGGCACCCAGGGACCTATGGCTGTGTACATACAGCATTGCATTAATAGTGCTTTATTTCTATTCCCAAGGTTCTTAGGAGAGGATCCAACAAGATGGGGCACAAGGAACAGTGTGAAAACAAATGAGATGCTACACAAAAGTCAAGGGGGTTCACCACTAGAGGTCAAGAGCAGAGGAAAGGAGATGCCTGTTCTTGAAGACCTGCAGTCTATCTGGTAGGAAACTGAAGTGGCAAAGTATCAATAGTCATGTTTTAAGAGAGTGGCTTAAGGGACTGATGGTAAGCTAGAGGCCTGAGGCTGGTAACAGAAGAGCTGCACACTTAGTGCAAACACTGGGCACCACATGGCATGGCCCACGGGCTGCTAGAAGCATCCTGGTCCAGTTCATACCAGCACTACTCAGCACAGCTCCCCTCGCCAGGAGCCCGTGACAGTTCTAAGCTCACACAAGCAGCCTCAGTCTCGGGCACTTCTCTCTTTTTACATCTCCTGAAGTCCTCAGCTTAACTTTGCCCAGACTCTACCTGAGAGTCTGATCAGTTACAGTTGTCTTCTCCATGCAACGTAAGGCAAAGGAGAGACAGACTCCCAGGACCCGTTCACCAAACAATGATCCTAAGTCACACAGAGGAATGGATTCACAGAAACTTGCAAGACTGAGTACCATACCCATATTGGGGTCCTGGGCGGTGAAGATACAGGAGGAAGAACTTCTGCCAGATAAGTGGCAATAAAGGGTGATCAGCAGGTGTGACCAGGGCCTGGTGGGCCCAGCGATAAATCAGCAGCCTCTGGAAGGATGGGACGATGGGGAGCTTCAGCTGGGCCTGGGCTTTCTACAAAAGAAGCAGCTTTGAGCAATCAAGGCATGAACACACAGTAAACACAGTGTTGTGTTCTCTCTAGGTGAAAATTAGGCCAAAGGAAATGCTCACCATTGTGTTTTCAACTGATTAAGAAAAAAAGGAAATGTCATATACAACTTCAATCCACTACCTAAAGCTTTCAATTCCCTGGTAGCAAGAAGAAATCTGACAGCTTTTTTTCCTGTCAAAACATCTCACCGACAGATGACCCAGAGTGGGATGCAAGTCTACTCTCGTTTCCATTCCTGAAATTCTCTTGCATTTAAAATGCTACAGTGCAAGGGGGTAGAATGACAGGAAAGCCAAAAGTAAATTTACTGTCAAATTGTCAATCTTTTGAAATTTTAGATTTTCAAAGACCTCTCAAGAATGACAAATTCCTCTCAAACCCAAAAGCAAAGTCTATACTATGAGGCCTTAAAATAGAAGGTCTTTATTGAATCTAAAGGAGCCCTGGTTGCGTACTGGGTTACAAGTAGGGCTGCTAACTGCAAAGTCAGCAGTTCGAATCTACCAACTGCTCCATGGGAGAAAGATTAGGCTTTCTACTCCCATCTCAGACACCCTATACTGGGTCCTATGGGTCAGAGCCGACTTGACGGCACACAACCACTAACAACCTATTGAATCTAAAGTCTATGAAAGTCAGCAAGGGACCTAAGAAGTGCCTTCAAAAAGTTCACGGTAAACTTCCATGATCTTTCTATTCCATTTTTCCATAACTTCTGCAAGTCCCCTGGTATGAAAATAAATTCCTGAGTTACATCCCAGAGTCAGAGACTCCGAATCTCAGAAGACGGTCCAGGGATCTGACTTTTCACAAACTCTTGAGGAAATTCTGGCTTTAAAACCATGGCAATCCCCTGCACAGGTGAATGATGCAAGAGCCTCAATTACTAGGCTATGACCGGCGTTAAATGCGCCCTGCATCCACTATGATTCTACCGTTTAAGTATGTGGCCTTGTACTTTCCAAATATTCACAACAAAATCAGGGGGAAAAAAAATCACAGGAGTCCAAAGGCTGCATAGGTGAATTCATTGGCATCAAAGTAAAAGCCTCCTTCTCCCAGTCAAGTATAGAACAGCTGTTTGCACCTTCAGAGCTTGGTCCGGAGTGAAAGCACAGTTTATAACCAATTCCCCTTCAACAACTCTTCGAAGCTGGGAATCTTCTTCAAAGATGGACTCCATGTTCAGTACAGTCCACGCAAACCACACCTACAATGACACCAGGCACAGGAAAGGGAAATGAGGAACAAACTCAGTCTGACAAAATTCATATTAAATTATCACAGATTAAATATCAACAAATAACTGTGGTTTCTAAAATCAGCACTAGTAAAATCACTTTTACGCCCGTCGCCATTCTTGTCACAAACATAAATTTAGATAAACTAGATCACTGGAAAATGGTAAATTCCTTCAGAAAGAGTACTCTGGTAGTATCAGAAGGATGTTTGTTCACTCAACAACACTAATGGGCAAGTTCACCATGCTGAAAGACCGCAAGGAGGACCAGACAGTCCTAGGGTCACAAAAGCAGCCTCAGCCTCAGGCAATTTCTCTCTCCTTTTGTCTCCTGAGGTCATAAGCTCAACCTTTCCCAGCCAGCCTCCCTCCACCTGAGCACCTGATGAGCTGCACTTGTCTTATCCGTGCTAGTTAGGAGGACAGGTGAGAGCTGATACAGGAAGCTCAAATGTAAAACAGAGGAGACAAGACTAAGGTATAAAGGAACCAAGATTAATGTACACGGAACCAGGATGGGAAGTACTGGAAGTTCCCTACTTAGCGCAGGGATTGGGTTCTGTCCCAACAACTACACTGTATATCAAATCTGATGTAAGTCAAATACAGGAAGTTCCTGGGTTACAAGATTAAGTCCTAAGTGTGTCTTCAAGTCTAATTTGCATGTGGGTCTTACTTAGCCTCATGTTAGTAATTTCAAAACTGCACATGCTGCCCAATGCAGATGATTGTGATGAAGAATTTGTTGTAAGTAGGAACTAATCCAATAATTTCAAACTAGGGGCAAACTGATGCAACATTAAAGGGCAAATACAAATTCTCCATAAATCTAACTGCCTGAACCTCATTTTTGCCTTTGGATTCACATTTACTGCCTTCTCATTAGCTGTATCTTTATAAATCCGATCTTTGACTTTAGCAGACGGAAATGGTACATATAAACTTAGATACATTTTAAAGCATACATACAAAAATCATAAAAACCTACTCCTACAATGAAGAATTGGGCAATGGCTACTCTTATCAGTTTGTGGAAGGTTCGGATCATCTGGATTACCCCCGGGGAATGAGGATGGTGTTTCTAGTCAGAAAATTAGTGAGAATTGTCTGTATGGGTTGTTGTTGTTGTTGTTGTTTTCTTCTATGGTTCGTGGTGACTTTAGCAAAGTGACCAACATTTGGATCTATGTTTTAAAGTAACAGAAGGTCCTGATTAAGTTTAGGGAAAACTTTGGCTAATCCTTTTACTATAAAATCTCCTTCCTCTTCCACATTATTTCTTTCTTCTTCATCATTTCTTTCCTTATCAAAATCCACTACATCTTGATCTGTCATTTTCCTTCTTTGTGACTTATGAGTTGCTCCACACTGGAAAGATCAAGTGTGAAATTCTGCGTTCTTGCACTGTGGATGGTTTTCCATCCATATCTCCCATCATGCTCTCCTGATGCATGTTATGGTATGAGATGCTGAGCAGCATCACATTCTAGGCCTGGCTACAGTGAAGTTAGTGCCAGTGCCCTAACAACAGAGCCAGAGTGAAAATATCAATTGGGTGAGTACACAGTTCAAACGTGTGGTTACACCAGACCACAGCCTGCTACATGGCAGTGATTTCGAAAGCAAATCTAAAACTGAATGTCTGCAAGTGGACAGCTGAGAATCTATAACATTAGCAAAAAACACACTACACCACATTACTAATGGAAAGATGTACACAAAAACAAGCAAAACTACAAAGCTTGGTTCATCATAATAACTCAATTATGTTACAAGTCAGGGACCACCTGTATGTACAAGAAAGCTCTAGTAGAGATTGGAGGGAAAGGGCATATCCTGTAAGAAATCAGTCAGGCGAAGGCAAGGAGTGGAAAAATCAGGAATATGTCTAGGTACCAGCAAGAGGTTCGGGAAAGCCGGCTCACAGGAGGCAAGACTGAAGGTAAGTAATGCAACAGGGACATTGATACCTGCAGTCTGCGAGGTGATGATAATAATGGAACTAACGCTCTGGATGACGATGACACCAGTAATAGCAGCCAACACTTCATTAGCGTGAACCCCTATGATGTGTTAAGCACTGTGCTGAGTGCGTATGTGGAGGTGCAAACATTATTCTCATTTGACAATTGAGGAAACGAGGACAGGGAGAGGTAGGTGGGTTCCCCAGAGCACACAGCCAGCAAATGGCAGACCCCAGACTAAACTGTCTGACTCCACGACTCATCCTCTGCACCACTTGCCAGCAGGCTCTGACCACAAGTCACAGAACTCCATTAAGTCCCAGTTAACACCCCGATAAAACAGGAATGGCAACAACACAACTTCAGCAGAGAGCTGTTGTAGGACCAAATGAAAGGGTTTCCTTACATGCAGTAAATGCTAAGTAAATGGTAGTGATTTGGGGCTATTAAGAATTTATTAGTAAGGATGATAATACTAAAGTTCACAGAGACAACCAATAATCCCACCACCCTGAGTAGGCTTCCTACCTGAGTGGGTGAGGCCAGGCCCTCCACAAATGAAGGTGTGATGTTGCCAGCCACAATCCAGCTAACCAAAGAAGAGAGCAGACTCTGGTCACAGTGGTAGCCGAGAGCATTCTACAACAGAAACAGACATGGGACAAAGAGACTTTACAAAAAACTTACAATGATCTTTTCAAGTAGATCTGTGGTAAGACACAGATTTCTATAATTAGCCCACCAACCACAGTAGTCCCAGGCAGTGTGGTTCATCCTAACTCATATACGTCACAAGTCAGGGGCCACCTGTATATCCAAGAAAGCTCTATTAGAGATTGGAATGAGTTGGCTCTTCCGGGGGTGGTGAGGTACAGTGGATTCTTTAACATGGCCTTTCTAACCATAGTTTTTATGGGTCCCATATAATGACTGAGTGGGGTTATGCAAATAAGGTGCTTGTGGGTCCAACAGCCTGCTAATAATGCAAATAAGGTACAAGGAATCCTGCAGAGGTGGTGTTATTGCCAAGTGCTGTCTAGTCAGTTCCCACTCAGCAACGCTGTATAAGATTTCCAAGGAGGAGCTGGGGAGTTTGAACCGCCAACCTGGGTGCTGCAAGGCTGTGGTTATTGAGATAAGTCAGCAATAGGACTAAGCTTTAAAAAGGCAGTGGCTACTGGGCAGTCCTGAGAACGGTGCATTTTGGGAAACCGTTTTAGAAGGCTGCAATGGAGCTGGCTGAAAAATAAAAGTCTCTAAGAGGTTTACCTTGTGTTGCTGGTAGAGTAATTTCTGCACACAGTCCTCCTGCATCAGCTGAAAAGCCGTTTTACACAAGTGGTCCATGAGATAAAGGATGGGCTGCTCCCGGTACCACAGATGCTGACTGATAAGAGCCTGAACCCAGAACTCCAGCACAGCAACAGGACCCACTTCATTGGGCCAAGTGCTCACAGATATGTGCGCCTGTGGAGAAAAGGCTGCAGCCATGTGGTGACAGGTAGTACCCCGCTCCACATTGCTAAATACCAACAAAATAATATGTGTTCCTCTGCAAAGCCCAAATCTATTAAGCACCTTGGCCAAGAAAACCATGTCAAGTTTTGACATGAGCCAAACACAAATGTGTTAACACTGGAAATATCTGTCTGGGAAGACGGTCAATGGTGTGTTTAGGGACTTGCTAGGATCCTGACCTGGATCATGCTGTTGAGAAGTTTCACATTGTCTCCGTGGCTGCCTCCCATCAGGTGTTGTGCCACCTTGTGGGTGACCTGTTGTGTGACGCCCTGAGGGACACCGCTGTCCAAGTGCAGGAACAAAAGGAGGTGAGATAGAAACCTGCCAAAGACACAGGACCATACATGTTACCTTCCCTTTGGGAGTCCACAGAAATGTTGTAAATGGCCCCATTTCTCAACCAAAACTCCATGCAGGGTTTCTAAACACATCTTCAGAAATTTCAGAGGAAGAAATTTCTCTAACACAAGTGCAGGTTACATTACAAAGAATGCTGACCGCACGTAAAAGTCCACTTCACAGATCCCAGGCACCCAAGTACATGTAAGCTGATGAGCATTCAAAGAAAAAACCCGCAAAAACCACTGTATGCCCCACTGGTAGCAATAAAAGTAGAGGTGTTATAAGGCCCTTCGTAAATGTTTACTGGGTGCCAACTTTATACAAGGTGGTGTGTGGGGAACAGGGAATACCACCCCAATGAAAACAGGGATCTTCCCTCAGTTCTTTCCATGCACTGGGCTCCCTCTTCTCTCCTGGCCTTTGCTTCAGCAGATTTTCTGCCTGAAACACTTTCTCCCCTATGCCTCACGAGCAAACTCCTACTCATCCCTCATGTCTCATTCACAATTTCCCTTCCTAAGAAACCCCCATCTTAAATACATCTAACTCATAGGCCTCTCTCAGCACCCAGTCGTGTTCCTTCAGTCCTTACAGCTGGTACCTGCTGAGGGCAGAGCCAGGACCTGCTTTGTCCCTGGGAGGAGTCAACAGGTGCTGTGACAGCTGAGTGAAGGCACAGAGGGAGGTCCGGGCCACTCCAGTGCAGAGGAAAACACTGTACTACACAGCATTTCACAATGACAAAAACATTATAATACTATTTAAAAAAAAAACCCACATTATTTAACCCTTACCCTCCTCCCATGCTAGACAAATGAAGAAACATTGACTCTGTTCACATTCTAATAAATGATAGAGTAAGATCACATGTGCTGACCAGAGGACAAGTGTCCCCAGACATGCCCAGTGCCCTGGTGCTTATTTAGCAATTTCAAAAAAGGTTCTCAGGTTCCATCTCATTCCTACACTAGAGAAGAATCTCTAGGGGGAATGGGATTTCTTATTTAACAAGGTGCACCCCCACCCCACCCCCAGATGATTCACATCCCCAGGCAGGTTTGGCACATGCTCCTCTAAAAGGGGTCCCTGTAATGCTCCCCTTGGGCCCTTGGATATTCTAGCAGTTCACTCATCCACCCCAACAAGGTCTCACTGACACCTGACCTCAACCCTTCTCCCACCTGCAGCCCCTCTTCTCCCTGGATGGATCGTCTTCTTTCCTTCTCAATGCCTTCACTCATGCCCTTCCCAGCCCCTTGACACCCCCTTCCAATCCCCTACCAACAGGGAGAAAGTCTTGCCCAGGCCTCTCCTCATCTCTCACCCAAAGTCTACATACCCCGCAAGGCTCAACCAGAGCTCTACCTCTTCCATAAAGTCATATCCAGAGGAACTGACCCTCTCCCATGTCATAGTCCAAGGAGGCAAGGGGTCCCAATACAGAATCCCTCCCCCACCGCCCTCTCAGGACTGGTCAATCCCACCAGACACAGGGATGGGTCCAGGCAGAGCACAAGATCTAAGTCAGACCAATAGGGATTGTTATATCGGAGCAATGAGAAATGGTCTGTCTTTCCCAAAGACTTCTCTGTAAACAAGCATCTCATTCCCCTGGAAGAAGTACACCTGCAGGAGAAGGCCAACAAGAGGGAAGAGAAGCAGGACTGGGGAGAGGAGTGACACAGATAAAGAGAAACACTTGGACAGGTTTCTCAGCTTCAGCACAACTAACATTTTGGGCCAGATGAGTCTTAGTTTGGAGGCTCTGTTGTATATGCTGTAGGAGCCCTGGTGATGCAAAGGAGTAAGCACTGGGCTGCAAACTGAAAGGTCCGTGGGTCCAACTCATCAGCTGCTCCGTGGGAGAAAAGGAGGTAGTCTGCTTCCATGAAGATTCCCAGGCTCAGGAGCCCCAGCGAGCTGTTCTGTTCTGTTATCACTATAGGGTCGCTATGAGTTGGAACCAACTCAACGGCAGTGAGTTTAGTTTACTGGGCACTGGAGGGTGAGTCACAGCATTCCTGGCCTCTACCCACCAAATACCAATGGCACACCACCATTCCCATTAGTTATGACAGCCAGAAACATCTCTGTTGTTGTTAAATGCCATCAAGTTGGTTCCAACTCACATGTGACCCTGAAGACAAGGAGTGGCTGATGGGTTTGAACCACCGACCTTGCGGTTAGCAGCCCAGTGCTTATGCTACAGCACCACAGCAGGACTCCAGCAGTTGAGAACCACTGCTCTAGACTGACCTCACACAATTCTGAATCCAGCTCTGCCGGAGGCAAGCTCTAGTCCCTCCTTCCCAGTCACATGAACCAATACACCTTCCTGGCAAAACTATTTTACTATCCCATCCCTAACTCCCTCCTTTCCTCTTTAAGCAATTGTTTCTCCATTAATTGTATCAGATAAGGCAAAAACAATCTATACACCACAGTATGGCCTCCACAATAGTGGTAACAGAACTCTGATATCACCCCAAACAAGACAACAGTATTTTCCCAACAAGACAACAGTGTCTCCTGGATGAACACCTTCCTGCATGAATGAACCATTCATAAGACTGCAATATGCACACTACAGGCACCTGAAATCAATCAGCTTTGCTACAGTCATCGCTTCAATGTCAAGAGCACTATTCCTGGAGTCTAAGAGAAACAACTGATGTTTACCACCACCCCACCCCACCCAAATACTAATGCTGCTGTTGCTGTTAACCACAGAATCGTTTCCTACTCTTAGCTACCTGTATGGGTTTGAAACTCTGATCTTGCAGTTAACAGTCCAGTGTTTAACCTAGAAGTGCGCCACCAGGACTCCAATGAATTATATAAGCAATCCAAAATTCAATTATAAAGGAAAATAGCTTTCATAATAATCAAACTAGGATCATCTTATCACCTATATCCTAAACTGAGATACAGACAGTTTTCTGCTTCATAAAAAATATTTCATAACATCAATTCCCTTGAGAAACCAGCATCCACAGCCATTTATACTTGCTGGACTTGCTCTCCAATGCATGTCCCCTGCCACCAGTGGGGCATACTTACTGCTCATTTTTCAGAAGATAATACTGGCAAGGGTAGAACAAAGGCAGAATCTTATCCAGGACATGGACCACTGTTCTCAAATGCCTGGACTGTACCAGAATTCCCAACAGTGGGATGCCTTCCACACAGAACTTCTCGATGCTGTGGGAAAAGGACAGGACAATAAGGATAAAAGGCAGCAGTTCCTTGTGATGAGCAATCAGCCTACAGGCTGTCGGATAACCTCAGGTCTCCAGCACGCTTGTGCATACCCAATTTTCCTAAAAATCATTAGAATCTGAACTCTGGAAATAAGAAGGAACTTGTTATGGATTGAATTGTGCCCCTTCCCCATGTCCCTCAGACATGTGTAAACAATTTGAATACCAAATCTGTGGGGCCAGTCACCATTTGGGATGGGTGCCTTTGCTATGTTAATGAGGCGGGATCATGTGGGATTTCTGTTACCACAGCACTAGACAGTGAGGGCAGATTTGGGTTCTGGAAGAGCGAAGATGCTGCTCTGGAAGGCAGACACCTAAAATGTGGAAGTGATTTTGGAATTGGGTAATGGGTAGAGGCTGGAAAAGTTTCAAGGTTACTAACAATAAAAGGATGCCTTGAAGAGGCCGTTGGTAGAATTATGGACGTCAAAGGAGACTCTAGTGACAGCTCAGAAGTAAGGAGAGCTACAGAAAAAGTCTTAGAGAATACAAATGGCCCCATCAACAACAACTGTGAGAATGGCACAAGACCAGGCAGTGTTTCATTCTGTTGTGTATAGGGTCACTATGAGCCAGAGCCAACTCAGTGACAACAGCAACAATTCTCCCTAGACAAACTTGATGAAGGCCCCAGATGTGTGGGATGGGGAAGGTGAGATCCTGAAAGCGCAGACTACAGAGCAAGGTTCACAACACTCGTGGCTCAGCCTGAACACCGTACCTGTGGCCCACAGCCGTCATGGACAAGGCAAGGTAACAGCCAATGGGCATGCCTGCTTTCACAGCCTTCAAGAGCGGATGGAACGTGGCTGACTCAGTCATGTCAGGCACAGTTCTGGAGAAGGGAACGGTTGGACAGTTCTGCTGTATCCCATAATCATTTCTGTGCAGTTTCAACCTCAAGGTCAAGTTCCAGGCCCATTGGTTAAATGAAGTCTCAGGAGTCTCTCCATAGCGAACAATACTGGCCAAATATGAAACCTGAAACAATTATTTATTGGTGAATCATAAACTCAACCACTCATCCCCTTTCATGCCCAACGAAGTCCTCAAAAGAGGACTATACTAATTACCAGCCCTCAATAATGTCTGCTGCGATGCGTTAAAGCAACTTCTGAATTGGAGTGTTTTGCAGTGCATATATATACTCAACAAAAAATACTAAAGTTGTTTTAAAAAAAGCAATTTTTCACAACTTACCACTCTGACTTACTACTAGTCACTTTTGAACCTTATTTAAGTGACCTCACAAGCAAAAGGGAATGAGATAAAAGTTGACACTCATTCAATGGTGTATTGATAAATACTTTTAACAACCAAGAGGTGTGTGTGCAATTTTGGCGGTGCAAAAACTCCTGCCGTGACCAATTCCAAGCTATCAACAGTTTAACAACCAGTGTTCAAAGCTCCCAAAAATTTAACATTCTGTTTTCTTAAGACAATAGAAGCTCGATGCCAAAAACCTCTGTGGCTGAACTCAGTATTAAAATAACATGAAGGTTACTGCTTAAAATAAAAAATCTTTGTCAGTCACAGAACTCAATTTCAACATCTTAAAATTGCCAGAGACGGTCTTAGAGGAGACCGGAGACCCTTTGTTAATAAAGACTTATATTCTTGATACGTAAGAGAAGGGAATACCTGTTTCATACTTTCAGTAAGAAGCCCAGCGTATGGCTTCTGTGCAAGGTACTTCTGGTAAGCTTCCAGAACCATTAGAGCCACTTCAGCATGAACTGCCTGATTCAGATGAAGGACACCCTTTTAAAGAAAAAAATAACCACAAATAGAAAACACTGGGTTTTTTCTGCTCCTGAGACAAAAGATTAAAAGTAAAAGAGTATGTTAGATGCAGAACCTAAGTTTTCCAAAAATCATATTCCTTGATAGTGAAATTAGAAATTGTCAATGGGAAAACACAGAATTTTTATACTGCACTCACGTAAGTTTGTGCCTTAGAAATCCCCAACCGCAGCCCAAACTCGCCACACAGATTTTGAGTTATAAGTTAAGAGCATCGCCAACAAGCCAGGAAGATGAATCATAAAGTCTACAATCCCTTTTTTGTTCTATCAGCAGCGAAACTATATTAGTCTTCAACAATATAGACTGAAATTGCTATCAAATTTCCCATCCAGTCTTCCTTTACAGGCTGAAAAAATGGAAGCAAAGTCCTAGTATTAATGAACTATTCTTAGTAATAACTACTCACTGTTGAGTATTCAATGTGTGCCCAAAAGTGTCCTAATTGTTATACTTGTCTGAACTTCTTGAATCCTTACAGCAACCATATGACGTGGGTTCTATTAATATCAATGTTTAGACATGAACAGCTGAGGCCCAGAGAGTTTAGGAGCCTTGCTCAGGGTCACAAAGCTGAGAGGTGTCAGAGCCAGGATCACAACCCAGGCAGCCTGATTCAGCGCTCAGGCACTTCACCAATGTACAGTGCTTCCCAAGACAAAGCCTGAAAATGGCAGGCAAGTTACAGAAGGAAAAGGAAACACAAGCAGGAGAGGCAATTAGGAGGAACTGTACAAAATAGCCACATATAAAACCACATGTACAAGTGTGGAATTTTCAGTGTGGAACAACTGATCTTCAGTTAAGAGAATGTTCATTTGGCAAAAGAAAATTAAAGAGAAGATCCTAAACTCGAATCATCTGAAATGTTTTGAGAAAATGCTTCTTTACAACTAATGCGGGTAGAACCTACAGTCTCCAGGAAATGGTTCAGCACATACCTGTTCATCAGATCCCCAATTCAGTCCTTCCAAAATAACACAGGCCAGTTTGTTCTTCACAGCTGTCAGGTTATAATTCAATAACCAATCCCGAATTACAGCTATCTCAGAGGTAGAAGGTCGCCAAAGATACAAAGGCAACTCTTTAAACAAGTATAAAGAAACCTTGTTTAAAAGAAAACAGTAATTAAAATCAAGACGTTGGGACAAACCTCTTTACTACAGTAATACATTATTAAACTGCTTGCAAAAATTTTCCCCCAAAAGTGGGGTTTTTCTGGTTTTTTAGACAAATGGAATGGCAATGTAGACAGCCAAATCAAAAATGAATTCAACCTGGTGATATACTAAAAGCACATTTTTGCAATCCTTTGTCAAGGCCAACTTTTTAATGGGTTAATTGGTACATTTCACTTTAGGACAACCACACTACGACCCCAAATTCATCATGTTAAGTCTCGATGCAGTCATTCATTTTAAAACACATAGTTACAAAGCAGAGCCAGTAACCATTTGCCATCAAGTCACTTCCTACTCATGGCAACCCGTGTGTCTCAGGGTCCAACTGCACTCCATATGGCTTCCAAGGCTGGGACTTTCTGGAAGCAGATTACTAGGACTTTTTCCAAGGCAGCACTGAATGGGTCTGAACAGAGACTACAGGATGGAAAAGCCCTCTTTGCCTACTTTAGATGCTCATATGCCTTACTACAAAATCCTCACTGAGCACATCTTTTGGTGAGCGCTATCACTGTATACTGGAATTCCATTTGCAATGAGGAATGAAGTACTGATACATGCTACAACATGGATGGACCCTGAAAGATAAGTGTTCGGTCACAAAAAATATTGATTCATGCCACAAGACAAAATATTCTCTGATTCCGAGTATATGCAATGTCCAGAATCTATGTTCAGAAAGTAGCTGAGTCACTGCTTACGGTGGAAGGGATAGGAGGTAGGGAAGGGGATGGGGTTTCTTTCTCAGATGATGAAAATGTTCTAAAATTAACTGTGGGGATAGCTGCAGATATCTAGGAGCATACTGAAAATCACTGGGTTGGACACTTTTAATGACCTGAGCTCTGGTAGCATAGTGGTTACGAATCGGGCTGCTAACCTCAAGGTGGCAGTTCAAAACTACCAGCTGTTACACAGGAAAAAGATGAGGCTTTCTGCTCCCGTCAAGATTTACAGCCTTGGAAATCCTGTACAGGGTCACTATGAGTTGGAACAGACTCCACAGTATTTATCAACAACAATGGTATGTTTTAAAAATATCACATAAAGATTAAAAAAGGGATTGTGACAAATGGCAGAAATAAATTATGTCTGTACCTCACTCTACTTAAATTACTATTTTTAATTTTGCTTTAGACTGACTAAGGCCTTCTTTTTCTTTCCTAGTAGGAGTTGGAATTTCTTCCTAGTATAAAATACAAGAAATGGGAAAGCCAAACAAACTTATGGAACCGAAACTCTTCATTAATAAAGGTTACAATGACAGCAAGACCTGTTATTAAAAGAGTTGGAAGGTGGAAGGTAAACAAGTGACAACTCTAAAGGCGCTGCCACTCACCCCGAGTGGGTGTGGTGGGTGACACAAAGCCTGGCACACAGAAAGGGTGCTGGGCCCTTAAGTGGTCTGGCATTCCCAACAACTTCCCCATTTTTTCCAACATTCCCTTACTTCGAGATTAACAAAACAAGAAAATCCATGTTCTTACCATTCCAACATGATCAATGGTCTCTTGAACTCTATCTAGAAGGATCGAGATGATTTCAGGGTGAACAGCTGTAATGGCTCCTAAAAGCTCTCGACCAACCTTAGAAAAAGTCTCTCTGGTGGTCAGGGAGACGTAAGATACCTAAAATGACAATACAGACACACAAAAAAGATACATTTAATACCAATAATCAGTCAAATGTCATTTCCACGTGTCCAGAATTTACTTAGAACATTTTAAATAAAGCAGAAAAAATAATATTATCTTCAAGTGGCTGAAAACATTAGATATCAGAACATGTCAGAAGGTTAGATATCAAACTGTCCACTCTGAAGACTGGAAGGTAAAAAGAGACGAGACAGAGAGGAAAGCCAATGGTTTGTAACAATGGTTTCGCGAGTGCCAGATCCAGGAAGGATACCCCAAAGTTTGTCAACAGCAATTAAACAGCCTCTTTCATCTCAAAATGGCTCTCAATTAGAGAAAATCAATAAAAGGATGAAAATCAGTATGCATTTCATGGAACTAACTGTTCTCGCCCACAAAATAAGATCACCTGCTACGAGATCTTCTAAACCATCAAGGGTCACCAACTCCTCTTGAACAAAGTCTTTCGAGCTACAGGCTATAATGCATTCAGGCCAGTGACTAGCACTTCTTAAATACAATGAAGTATAACAGGAAAACAGCAGTGCAGAATAAAATACAATAGAAAAATTCGAGCACACGGCCCTCTAAGATTAAGTATTACTTCAATTACACACACACATACACTATCAGAAAGTAATATAGGATTTAATTTTTATGGTGTGTTCTGGTCAAAATAAAACATTAGCTAAGAGCATAAATTGTTACACTTTAGAAAATAAATTATGCATATAGAATCTATCTTTTCTCCCCCAATTTTTTAAGACTACATAGATGGTCTGGAATTCCAAATCCAACTAAATGTTAACCTCACGCAAGGTTACACAGTACACATACGTGTACTGTTGTATCCTGGAAAGAGCTTTCCATCATCGAGGCCTACTACTGTCACACTGGAGAGTACTGGGGAAGACAACAAACTCAGGGAGTCTTATTAGAACATAATCTTGTTGGAATTTACTTGGGTAGTTTGGAGAAAGTCTTTATTAAAATAATCAGATAAACAGAGCCTACAGTGCAAACTGCGGATGGATTATGTGTGGGGTGTGTGTGTGTGTGTGTGTGTGTATACACACAACACTCCATTGAAAGTTTTGATGTCACTTTGGACTATCTTCCTGATGGTTGGGGGTCTCCTCCATCAGGAATGACTCAGTGAAAAAGTGAAGGCTCTCATTTTATACAAGAAAAAACCAAAGCCCAGAGTGAGTGGCAAGGAATCTTTTCTGGTGGATGATGAACAATGAAAGGTAGACTCAAATGTTCTTTCCACCATTTCAAATCACCTGGCTTAGAAGTCAAGTTTCCACAATGCTGGAGTGAGTAGGTGAGAAGATTGTGGGGGGTGGGGGGTAGGGGGTAGGGGGAAATGACAACATCAAACACAGGAAGAGAGTCAGGCTGTGCCCGGTGCTCTATCCCTTATTACAACACATCCAGTAAACATCATGAAATTGTAAGGGGATGGGTAGGCGAACGAGATGACAACCACAGCTGTGTGTAGGTTTGGCAGCAGACAGTATTTCTACATTTTTATGTGTACTTGTATTTGTATGTACTCTAGATATATCCATGTGTTCTGGTGTGGCACACTATAGGATAAGCACTTGACATCAAGGTTGGTTTGAACCACAAGGTCGGTGGTTCAAAACCACCAGCCACTCCTCAGAAACCTTATACAGGGTCGCTATGAGTTGGAACTGACTTTACAGCACTTAGCAACAACAACATATAGTAGAGCAAACAGATGATACTTCTTGGATATAACTAAACACCCTGTGATCACTTGGGTGCTGAAGACCGCATCTTGGGGAACAGCTATGTCAACTGGCATGACACAATTCGATACCCTGCTATGGTAAGTAGCAACTAGGATCTTAAAAGTTAGCAAGATGCCGTTTAAGAAGCAACTATTAGTGTCTCCCCATCTGGAGGTAAAAACAATGAAGAACCAAAGACTCAATGGACCACATGAACCACAGCTTCCAGTACCCGAAAGCACGGGTGTGCAGATGGTTCTGACCAGGACCACATAAGGTCCTAGACACAACGGGAGAAAACTGTGAAACAAAATTAAAAATCATTTTTAAAATTCCAGACTTCCTAGGACCTCATGCTGAATTAAATCAGTACATCAAAAGGACACATATACTGCATGAAACCACTGGTGTAAAAAGTTAAGAAAAGGTTTTCTTGATAAAAGAAACATTCTATGATGATTAGGGGAAGGAAGAGGTTGGTGTTGGTGTTTGGTGCCTTCAAGTTGGTTCCAACTCACAGCAACCTATGAACAATAGAACAAAATGCTGCCCGATCACATGGTACTTGAACCCACTGCTGCTGCCACTAAGCCAGTCCATCTCACTGGGAGCCATCCGCTTTTTCGCTGACCCTCCACTTTACCAGTATGATGTCTCTCTCCAGGGACTGATCCCTGTCTGAAGTATGAGAGATGAAGTCTCACCAGTATCACTTCTAAGGAGCATTCTGACAGTACTTCTTCCAACACTGATTTGTTTAGTCTTCTGGCAGTTCATAGTACTTTCAATATTCTTCTATAACACCATATCTCAAATGCATTGATTCTTCTAAGGTATTCTTTATTTATTATAGTACTTTCACATGCATAAGAGGCGGAGCTGTGGGCTAATGCATCAGACTGAAAGTCATTTGAACTGCAAGGTCGGTGGTTCAAGCTCACCAGCTGCTCTCCTTGGAAACCCTATACAGGGTCTCTATGGATTGGCTTCGACTCGACAGCACTTAACAACATAAGGCAACTGAAAATACCATGGCTTGGGTCAGGTGCACCTTAGTCCTCAAACTAGTATTTTTGATCTTGAACACTTTAAAGAGATCACGTGCAACAGATTTACCTAATGCAATACATCATCTGATTTCTTGATTACTGTTTCCATATGCACTGATTGTGGATCCAAGCAAAATGAAGTCTTGGACAGCTAAAACCTTATCTCCATTTATCATAATGTTATTTATTGGTCCACTGGTGAGGATTATTGTTTTCTTTATATTGAGGTACAATCCATACTGACAACTATAGTCTTTGACTTTCATCAGTATTTTAAATTCTCTTTGTTTTTAGCAAGCAACGTTGTATCATCTGCATATCACAGGTTAGTTATGAGTCTTCCTCCAATCCAGCTTCTTGGATTATTTTAGCCTCAGCATTCAGACCAAATAAGAATGGCAAAACGACACAACCCTTTTGCACACTTTTCCTGATTTAAAACCATTCAATATACTCTTGTTCTGTTTGAACAACTGTCTCTTGGTATATGTGCAGGTTCCTCATGAGCCCAAGCAAGTGTTCTAGAATACTCATTCTTTGCCATATTATCCATAGCTTGTCATGATCCACAGAGCCTTTGTGTAGTCAATAAAGCACAAGTTAACATCTTTCTGGTGTTCTCTGCTTTCAGCAAAGCTCCATCTGATGTCAGCACTGATACTCCAAGTTTCATGTCCTCTTCTGAATCCAGCTTGACTCTCTGGCAGTTCCTTGTAGATGTGCTGTTGCAGCCATTTTTTTCATTATCTTCAGCAAACGTTTACTTGCATGTAATATTAATGATATTGTTCGATTATTTCCACATTTTGTTGATCACCTCTCTTTGGAATGGGCACAAATATGGATGTCTTCCACATTTGTTCCAACTCATAGTGGGGAGAGATTGTTAACACGGGTGACAGGGCAGGTAATATACAACGAGAGGGTGGTTGGAGAGGAATGATGAAGGCAGCTGAACATACAGGGAGGAATGCAAGTGTTAAAGTGAACAGAGATAAATACTGTTAGTTGATGGTCCCTGGAGAGGATTGCAATCCCTATGGGATCACTTTTCAGACAAGTATACAATCCCATAAAGGGAGGAACACTTGTAAGGAATGGAAAACTAATTTGCTTTGTAAACTTTCACCCAAACCACAATAATAAAAAAAAATTTTTTAAGAGATTTTATTGTTGTTAAGTGCTGTCAAGTCGGTTCCAACTCGTAGTGACCCTGTATAGGGTTTCTGAGGAGCAGATGGTGGGTTTGAACTGCCAATCTTGCAGTTCTATGCTTTATCCTACAACACAGTAGGGGGCAGTGGGGAGCATGGTGGCTCCTGGACTAGTAACCACAAGGTGGATGTTTCAACTCACCCCACAGAAGAAAGATGAGGCTTTCTATTCCACAAAAGATTTACCCCCTTGGAAACCCCATGAGTTGTAATGGAGTTCTGGACCTCAAGGTCTAGTTGCATTGCAAAGTTGACAGTTCAAACTCACCAACCACTCCTTGAAAACCCTATACAGTGTCACTATGAATCGGAACTGATACTATGGCACTTAACAGCAACTAATGAGTTGAAACTGACTCAGCGATACTTAACAACAACAACAGGGGGGCAATGCAATGATTATAACTCATGGTTTTAATTCTTCTTCTAGGAAAATGGTGTTCCTTGGAGTCTTTATGCCCTTCCGTAAGCACTGACAACAGATAGGTCATTATATTTTTAAAAACACAATCTCAAAAGAATCAATGAACAGAGAGCCAAACAAAATGGAAAACTTTGAGCTTATTTCAAAAACGTTCATACTAACCTCATATATCTCCAGAACAATAATTTTTATGAAGTCTTCATCCACGTCGGTTCTTCTGGCCTGTGCCATCTGAGCAAATGTAGTCAGAAGGCAAATCTCTTCTGAGCTATTCATGGAAGAAAGACACTTCTCAAAGTGCACAAAATGCTCCGGGTCTGCACGTTAAGATCAAGAAAATTAAAGAGGAAAAAGAGTACATTTCTATCAGTTTAAATTACTGTACCAGAGGGAAAGGAGACAGAATGTTAGAAAACATTTAGAACCACTTTAAGATACAAAAGGTCTTTCTTTGATCTGGACTGGACTTCTACTGGCATCAGGAAGAAGGCTGGACCAGACAGTCTCTTAGATGCCTATAGCCTCAAAGTAAATCAACTTGTTTCCTCATCTTCACAAGGTTACTTAACAAAATGAAATGTCATGTCCCTGGTCACAAGCTTCCTTAACAGCTAAGCACTACCACTGCCATCAGGTAAGACACCTTCGAAGGCAGTCTTGCTGGTGCTAGGCACATTGAAGTTACTTGCTTAACTGTCAACCAAACAAAAGCAGACCCTACTGAATAAAACTAAGATTAGCAAACTCCTCAGCACAAATATGGCATTTAAAAAAAAACAGAATGGAGCAAGAAAATACAGTTCTAACCACAGCTGAATACTGACAGATGTCATTAACAGTAGGACAAATGGTTAAGCATCGACAGGCTGCTAACCGAGAGATCAGTAGCTCAAACCCACTAGTGTCTCTGCAGAAGAAGAGATTGGTGATCTACTCCAACACAGACTTCAGCCTAGGAATCCCCACGGGCACTGACTGTCTACTGTGAGTCAGAAATCAACTGCACAGCCCATGGATTTGTATGGGTTGGGTGGTTTGTGGTTGTGTAAACATACCATATTTTGTCACTAAGTGGCAGCATGAGCAAACTGCAATACTTAGAAAATTAAACATTGCAAAGGTCAAGTTTAATCCGTGAAGGAAACCTGTCTGAAAAAAATATTCTCCTGATGAACTTTCTGAACTAGAGAGGCAGCAAGCCAACAATTCTTTTCCTATGCATGCAGATGTGAGAAATAAATAGTTCACCAAATTTTCTATTGCATTCAAAATAACTATGTGGCATTTACCAAATCAACTCGTATTCCTCATCCCCAAACTAGGTTTATAAAAGAAATCAGTACTGAGCAGTCCCAGAATATAGAAATGTGCTATCATCATTCAGTGTTTCAAAGTATATACGAAGGCCTAATATTTTAGAAAGAACAAAACAATTTCCTAATTAGCTTTTAAAACATTACCATTAAGATGAAACAAACTATGGCACAAGTTCTGAAAAGTCAAAGCCGAGTGAACGGAAAATATCAATCTAAAGAGAAAACAGTATTTGCTAGAGAACAAGTAACTGTACGCAAAGAATAATTTCACACACGCACATACAAAGAGGCGGTTCCTAAAACCCAAATTTAGGTTTAAGATAAACCAGCTGCTAAGCAGCCTCTCAAATTTCAAAGTCATCCCTCCCAAGTGTGGCGTTGTAGGATAACCACTGGATGAGTGGGTCCACAGTTCAAACCCACCAGCTGCTCTCTATGAAGCCCTATGCAGGGTCAGTATGAGTCAGAACCAACTCAACGGTACACAAAAACAACAGAATACAGCACTCCCTCGTATTCATTCTCAAAGTAGAAAAACTAAAGCATTGAGGAGGAGAAGCACACAGAGGTGGAGACAGATGTCTGCTGCATGTCTTCCAAGCCACCAGGCCCCACAAGACTGTACCTTGGAGGTGCGCCTTGCACTGGGCAGGCAAGAGGGTGGCGCAGAGCTTCTCCAGGCTCCCACCTTCCACCTGGTGCATGAGGTAGAAGAGCTTCCACAGCGTCGGGACTGACAGCGTCCCAAAGGGCATTTCAGACATAAACAGCCAAATGCCGAGCCTGCAGGTTTAAAAAAGACGGAATAGTTTTATCAATCATTAGCCAGCTTGACCACGCTGAGAAAGGAGAAGAGCTTTTCTAACACGCCTTGTCATAGGCACCTCAAGTGTGGATAATAACTGCAGCGGTGAATAATCATCACTTACTCTGTACCAGACTCTCTAGGTAGGTGGGTAGGTAGGTATACAGATTGATCAACTCATTCCATTCTCACTAAAACCCTGAGACAAGTACTACTGCTGATATTGTACTCCATTTACTTATGAGGCTACATATGCAGAGAGGGTATTAAGAGGTGGAGTTGGGTTTTGAGCTAAAGATCCTTTGAAGGCCTGGGTGACACACAGGCTATGGATGGGAGTACCATACAGGTTCAGGTGTATAGGCACACACACACACACACACACACACACACACACACACACATGGGTGCAGGGACAGGGGGTAGCAGGAACTCCTCACTGACCGCACAATGAATCTGAACTCCTGACTCAAGACAGCATTCAGAGCATTCCACAACTTAGTTTGGATAGCTCTGCCCCATACTTCCAACTCAAGGCCTCTCTCCATTCAGAATAAGTATACTTCTGGCTCCACACTGACCACTGTATAGTGAGTGCTGAGGTCTTCCGCTGAAGGCCCTCAACACTACTGCAGAACTCCACCCCTTTAACCCCCCACTTTAGCACATCACCCCTTTTACTGGTGTTTCTCAATACAGTGAGCATGAAATTCACAAGGTGACTTTGTGGGAAATGCAGGTTCCCAAAGGGATCCAGATGTGCTGAGTCACAGTTGGGATCCAGGAATTTGTGTATTTTATACTCACCACATTTATGTGGCCCCCAGTGGTCTTAAAGCCACAGTGAAAGCAGCAGTTTCAAGTGACTGTCCTCTACATTTGCAGAAGTCTTCCCTACCAGCCTAACAACAATTTGGAAGCAGAAATAAGGTCTTACTCATCTTTGCATAAGCCAGTATATAACCTATCCAGTCCTGGTGTGGTGCTGTAGGATAAGCACTGGACAGCAAAGTCGATTTGAAGCAGAGGACAGCAATTCAAATCCAGGAGTGGCTCCTTGTAAATGCTATACATCAAGAGTTGTTGCTGTTGTTGTTAGGTGTCATCGAGTCGGTAACGACTCATAACAACCTTATGCACAGCAAAACAAAACACTGACTGATCCTGGGCCAACCTCACTACTGTTGCCACACTTGAGTCTATCGATGCTGCCACTTGGCCAATCCAGCTCATTGGGAGCCTTCCTCTTTTTCTCCAACCGTCCACCTTACCAAACATGATATCCTTTCCAGTGAATGGTCCCTCCTGACAATATGTCCAAAGTATGAGAGACAAAGTTTGGCCATCCTGGCCTACAAGGAGCACTCTGGCTGCACTTCTTCCAAAACGGATCTATTGGTTCTTTTGGCAGACCGTGGCACTTTCAGTATTCTCCTCCAACACCACAACTCAAAAGCATCAATTCTTCTGCGATCTTCCTTATCCACTGTCTAGCTTTTGCATGCATATGAGGTTATTGAAAATACCACGGCTTGGGTCAGGCGCACCTTAGTCCTCAAGCTGACATCTTTGCTCTTCAACACTTTAAAAAGGTCTTGTGCAGCATATTTGCTTAATGCAGTACATCGTCTGATTTCTTGACTGCTGCTTCTGTGAGTGTTGACAGTTGATCCAAAAAGAATGAAGTCCTTAACAACTTCAACCTTTTCTCCGTTGACAAGAATGTTGTTTATTGGTCCAGTGGTGAGGATTTTTGTTTTCTTTACATTGAGATATAATCCATACCAAAGGCTGTGCTCTTTGATCTTCATCAGTAAATATTTTAAGTCCTCTTCACTTTCAGCAAGCAAGGTTGTATCATCTGCATATCACAAGTTGTCAATGCGTTTTCCTCCAATTCTGATGCCACATACTTCTTCATATAACCCAGCTTCTCAGATTAATTTGCTCAGCATACAGGGTGAATAAGTATGGTGAAAGAATACAACCCTGTTGCACACCTTTCTTAATTTTAAACCATTTAGTGTTCCCATGTTCTATTTGAACAACTGCCTCTTGGTCCACATACAGATTCCTCACGAGCACAATTAAGTGTTCCGAAATACTCATACTTCACAATGTTGTCCATAGCTTGTCATGATCCACACAATCGAAAGCCTTTGCATAATCAATAAGCACAGGTAAACATCTGATATTCTCTGCTTTCAGCCAAGATCCATCAGACATCAGCAATGATATCTCCCGTTCCATAGCCTCTTCTGAACCTGGCTTGAACCTCTGGAAGTTCTTCATCAATGTATGCTTGCAGCTGTTTATGTATTACCATTAGTAAAACTTTACTCACATGGAATATCAAAGAGATTGTCCCATGACTTCCGCATTCCGTTGGGTCACCTGTTTAGAATGGACACAAATATGGATCTCTTCCAATCAGTCAGCCAGATAGTTGACTTTTGGTACAGTGACTCTGTATATTCCGTCCATCTTCTTTTGATGCTTTCTGCATCATTCAATAATTTGCCCAAAGAATTTTTCAATAATGAAAGTCGAGGCTTGAATTTTTTCTTCAGTTCTCCCAGCTTGAGAAATGCTGAGCGTGTTCTTCCTTTTTGGTTTTCTGACTCCAGATCTTTGCACATTTTG